CAAATTAGGTTTGCAAACTCCGGACTGATGCTCATTCAGGTTTAACTCAAATGGCTTCGTGATAACTCAACACTGTTATAGAATAGTAAGATTTTTTATCATACTCATTTTCTTAATACCGTCTCACACATTTTCTTCATTCATCATACATACACATACTAGTTCACATACATATCGACACTCAAAGATGCAAAAATCGTCACTCTTTCATTCATGAAAGAAATCTAAACACATGAATTCTCCAAACTTGCTTGAGAGTATTTTCACTAGCTCTTTATATATATTACTTGAGAAGTTATCATAGTAATAAATAATAATTTTTATCCATCTCATTTTTACAAAAATAAATCGTAGTAAGTTTGACTAGTTCCTATTGCTGAACAACATGTTATCAAGCATTGGGAAAAATTTATCTCCTAAACCTTTTAGATGTTTTATTATCTCTAGATTGAGATGACGACATGCCATTAAGACTTTTTAACTTCCAAAACCTCCATATTTCACTATATAAACTTTAGATTTAGTCAAACCAATGAAAACTAATCATACGATAAAAAGTTTTTTTTACTTTCAATCTAAACTTTTGTAAAATACAAAATAACATCTTCTAAACCAATTCAAACAAACCCAAATCTTCTAAATGATGAATTATCAGAAAATCCTGAAAAATAAATTTAAATGAGAATTAATTGTAGATCACAAGAAATTATTAGATCTGAGTAGTTTCAAAGATATAATTTTACAATGGTGAAATCATTAACATTAACTTATAATTGTTAATTTGTTTTTTTCTAGCTTTCTATCTTGATTTTTGTACATAAGTATTGAAACATAAATATATATTAACTTGCAAAATTTGAAGAAATATAACTCTAATACATTATATTATTATAGGATATTTTAATCAATTGATTGATAAAGGTGTTGAATTAAAGTTGATTCGAATCAACAATCCTTTTCATTATGACTTTCATGTAGCTTAGCACTTTCATTTCACTTTACAATTCGCAAGAAATAATAAGTTCAATTAGAATGCAACTAAATTTTGATAGATAGATTCAAAATTAAAGTATAAATAATGGCATTTTGAGTTCTAATTTTTTTTTAAGTTTGCAATGACATAGTGTCATTTTGACTGAATAACACAGAAGCTCTTAAACAATCTAGCAAGTTCAAACTTCAAAGTTTAAATTCTTTAAGAGCTTAATTCTTAGTTCAATGACATGTTTTCATGGAATTCCTTTTATGAGACTTAATGATATTTATCAAGATTGTTCTTAGTGAAATGAAATTATAGTATAATTGTCATAAATTAACATGAGAATTTTTCAAATAGTATAAAAAGAGAGGAGGAAAAAATAACTTTCAAGCAAGTTTTGATAAAAAAATTTGTGATGATTTGTTTTAATAATGAAAATTTTATTCCTTGGGATCATTTTGAATGTTGTGTGAGTTTATACTGCATGATGAAAAGAGTGATTACATGAAAATATGTTATGTCACATGCATGTAGATCTCAATCTTCTAGATTCATGATAAATTATCAAAAAACCATCTAAGATATACTTAAATGAAAATCAAATTTTCATCATAATATTAAAAATATAGATTTCTTTGAATTTTATTTAATATTAAAAGAATTAGATTTTTATAATAGAATTTGATGATGTAGCTACATAAATTATAACAACTTGCGCAGAGTGATTTTACCTTTGAACCGAGACATGTATACCAATCTACAATTCAATAGTAATGTGAACTACATTACAATTCACATTATGATCCAAAAAAAGTTTAAACTATACTCACAAGTAAATTCTGTGGCAATTATGGAAGCTAGAGTAAACTCGCATAACTCAAAAACTATTAACACTAGCGGTATATCATCATATTTCTTAGACGCAAAACTGATCTTCATCTTTGTGGCAAAGTTAGGAAAAAGATTTATCTTTCAATCACGAGAAAAAAATTCATTAGGTTATGAGGAGAAAATCAATGGATCTCAAGCAACAACATCGGTATTGAATGACTTGGGCCATAACAAACAATAAAATGAGTTTCAGTTACCTCTCAATTCTCCCTCATATGTGTTAACGCAGGATATGCTCTAAACTTGAGTTTCATATGAAGTCACGACTTCTTATAATTTGCAATGATAATTAACATGATCAATAGTGAATCATTTGAATGTATAGAGTGATCTATGTAATGATAAACTTGCAAATATCTGCAATTAAGTTGTTTCTAAGAGTGTATTGATTGCACTAAAGTTAAAATTAGGTCTTTTGAACCACAATTACACTAAGATTTCTTGATTGTGAAGAAGTGAATATTCGATGAACTAGCTTCGTCCAAAAGTGGATGACAAGTGGATAAAAAAATCAAACCCCATAGTTGCGCAGGGAAGAAACCAAAGGTGTTTTTGTTCATGTTGGGGCGAACGGTCTGTACAAAGTATTAATGTTGAAATAGGTCGGCCTGGAGCGGGTTTAACTAGTTTAACATGTGGGCCCTGGAATGGACTAATATTGAGAAAGTACGTGCAATCCACGGTTGTTTTTGAGTGAATTTTAAGCATCCATGCATCCATCTTCCTTGCATATTGTTACGTTGGATGTTGACTTAATCCGTCAAAAAGGGCATCCAGAAAGTAAATGAAGAATCACATCTTGCACTCCGATGTGTAAAGGCCATTACTTACAATGTCAAATCGTCAATTAATATCTCCCTATGTAAGGCCTCATCTCTAAATAATCCTGAAATCTCTAACCGAGGTATGCACATGCCAATTAAAGATAGAAGGAAGTGAGTCATAATTCTATACGCAGCATCCACCCTCGCAGTGGACAGTGCTCGAGATTTAGGTAAAACTCCTGTACGGAAGATGTAGAGCACCATATTTCCATCATCTTGAACCTTCTAAATTGTGTAGGTGGAACAATCTCATTCATTAGCTGAGCACAACGTATTCGTACAACACAACACGTTATCATTATATTCTATTTTTTAATGTATATGTAGTTCACAATAAGCTCTCCTGCAGAAAGCAAATCAGGTGCTAGGATTGTCGTTCGTACAGCACTGCTAGTCCACTGAGCCAGGCCCATCTTTCCATCGTGCAATATCAAATTGCAATCCAACTGCATCCCCAGGTAGACTTTGTCCGTCGGGTTCAACATCTGCCGGCCATGAGCAGACTTGCGATCGTTGTCAGGCTCGTCCGCTCACACTGCATGGCTCAATGTGGATCTTTCCGTGCGCAAAGATTTTGTCATCGGTGCTGCTGGACTTCGTCGAATTTTTGCAAAATGCTTGCCGCGTCAAAGGCGAGCTGATTTCACCGGATTTTTTGCGACGCCGGGTGCAACCATTTGGAAAAAATGGACAAATGCGTGCCGATGGAGCTCATATTCTGTACGACATCATGGTCTTCTGAACGAGGCTTCTAAGATCAGTCGTTGCGGGGTCATGGTGGTGGCTTGGCACATTATTTTCAGCTATTCGAAAACTTCTATGCGGCCCTGGTATAGCAGGAAAAATTATAATAGTGAATCCCTCATATACCGCGATTGTATACCCGAAATGATGGATTATCAGATTTTGCATGGAAATAACGAGGATTCTCATCGCCATGGTAGTAATTTCGACTGCTGCCGTGAAATGATCGGACGCTTTGACTCGCCACCTCTCCCAAGGTTACAAGTATTTGATGTTCCATGAAGTTAGAAGCAATACCATCGTAAACTGTAGAAACTCCAGAATAACGGTGATCACGGCTCGGCACGTGATCACCTCCATGAGCCAAACTCTGTCATATTAAATACGCCATACGTTCGTTCATGACACCACGCTGATGATTAGTCAAGCGATCTACGAACTGCGCATAGCCTATCCTCATGATGAGTAGAAGAATGTTGGACCAGAACAGACACAAACACATGCAGACGATGGAGCATTTCATGCCATCTTTTGCTCGGGTACATCCTTTCGTACAGGTAGGTTACAGTGAAGGTGGACATGTGTGACAAATCTAGAATTCGTTGTCAGATCTCAAGTGATCAGTCAGGCACTTGCAGGTCTGAGCTCTGAAGTTCATCTGATTTAACATCATATGAACTTTGGGTCAATGTACTTATTTTAAGATCCTTCAGGTTTCGAATTTAAGGCATACATGAAGTTGCTAGAATCTGTGTAGAATCTGTGTGTCCAACGAACAGGACTCAGGGTTCCATAATAAACAAATCGTTGTGCTTATCTACATCAAGATGGATCTAGTTCTTTGTCAACACCATTGCTCATCAGTATAAACTTTAACAAAGTACAAAGATGCTGATATTGACGACGCTAGAATTTTGATGTGATTGCAGAATCCAAAGGCAATAAAACATGGATCCCTGGCAATCACAATATCAATCCTGCTAGCCCTTGTTGTCGATCGGGTGCCTCCAAACACTCACCCTCATGGGCATCTGAACTGGGACAAGGTGAACGTATGTATAGTTCTTGCGGAGTACTGGTGTCTAGTCATGTACGGTACACTTAAAGCTTTGCAAGTCTGAAAAGTGCATATAACAAGACTAACAATACAAATTAGCATGTCCAGGTATTGCTTATATTCTCCCCTGCGCGCGACTCAAATTCGTGCCTTGAGCCGTGCAAAGCGTTCTGCAGTTTTTCTGGAACATGAGAGTAGTTATTCTGGAAACTTCACCTGAAATGCATATCCAGAGTGAGCTTATGTGCAATTTTGGGTACTCAGTGTGAAAGCCTTCCTACTTCGTGAAGTATTTATTTTATCTTCCATCTGATTCTAGGTTGAGTTCCTCCATTGGTATAGTCGGCTCGAGTTCGAGCCTGTAAAGTCTAATCGACGCGAGGCATGAACGAGAATGTCAGAGACAAGAATGCATTCAGAAGATAAATCAGCCAACAGCGCAGACGAACATTAGAGGAGGACATCGACTTCTGTATCCTAATCCACACAGAGCCAAGAATATAATTAAGACACATCCGATCAAATTTTATATCAGAAATCATAGAATGCCAACGTTTCAGATATTTGACTTCTCTCTATCGTTGTTGATGGAATCTCTGTGAATAACACCGGGAATACATGTGAGCAGCCTCTACGTTGCTATGAAGAAGGCAGCGACCAAGAATAGTCCAGACAAAAATAGAGTTGAGATTCGCCTGGTTGCTCATTTGTCAAAGATTTGAATCCTTGTATGAGCATTATCTTTGAGAGACCGCACCACATAACTTGTCTCATGGTCGAGATAAACGGTAGTTGGTAGGGAAGCTGTTGAAGTTCTCTTTTCTCTCAGGAGAAACTTCTCGGCCACATCAATCCCTAGTCCAAATGGAGTTGTTCCAGTCACCTCATGAGGTCGCCTCAAAAGCAGTTCTTAATTTTTTTTGTAAACCAGCAGAAAAGGGAAGCCTTGCCGATGGAAGGGACACACCAGAATGAAATAGTATTGTTTCATTTCCTGTAAAATAAGCGGTGTGTTAAGTCCTTGAATTTAATCTTTCGAATCAAAACTATTTCAAAAGTTTAATCTACTGCACTTGTAGTGATGTTTTTTTGTCGCAAGTGGCTCCAGTATATATAAAGTACGCCACATAATCAAATGCATTTAAGCATACCAGATTAGTTTTATCTTATCCCCATCATTGTGAAACTCCAACTCAATCATTTCGTCCGACTCCACATAATTGTCGTCGCACAAATCTTTAGGACTTCGCATACAAGAGTATCGACGTGTAGGTGATTTGCATAAACGAGCCACTGGAAAGCACCACTCCACAGGTAAACTTTTGTATGGTATCTTATCCTGCGGGTATCCATCTTCATTCGTGGCATCTTGACATTTTGGAATGTGCTCTCCAGTAACTGCTGAACTAGCTTCTAGTGGGCGGGAGTCCGTATTCCTATCCATAGACATATCCGTCGTAGCTAACGAAGAGTTGGAACTGTCTTCTCGTCTGTTACCTGGAACTATGGTCTGAAAGTCACCTTGACATGGTGTCAAATCATCTACTTCCGATCGTTCACTTGTAAGGGAACCAAGTGAGATTCGATCACTGACAGAAATAGATTCCTGTGCCTGGCAGGTTTCATCCTGTTCAAGAGCTTTTGGCTCTCTTAGGCCTAGGAGGAAGAATGCCAATGTCGTCTTTATATGGCGACCTACTATATTGATGATCTTCTCCTTGGCAAATGTTTTCAGCTCTGTCGGTACCAAATTGAAGTCATCCCCATCTATACGTATTTGGTACTCCACGGACAGGTCAGTTGCTTGTGGATACTCTAAATGCCTTTGCTGTCTTCGCTTTAGCCCGTCCACAGAAAACCATATTCCTAAAAGAATTCCCATGGCACCGACTGCCCAGATCAAGTCAAGGAGACCCGCTTCCAGCACCAAGCTTATTATTCCAGTTCCGGAAAAGGCATCAAGAGAACTGAGGGAGGCGTTTTCTGATTCTGTTGCATTCATTTTCTTTCCGCGGTTGATGCTTGTGCCTAGAAATAAGACCTAGAGTATTCAAATCTGACTTACTCTTGCACGAAAGAGAACCCCGTCTGCAGTACCGAATTTGCTGCTGAAGTGAAGCAAAGAGAGTCAAAATCTTCACGAGCTCTCCTTGCCCGTCTTCTCGAAACTGAGAGAACTGATGACAGAATCCCCGCAGCCAGTAAATCGGATTGCAGAAGTAGTTTTCTCAAAGAAAATCACCGTCCATTCCTTCTTGCCCTCCATATCTGACTTCATCATACACCCAACAGGCATGTGGCTTTGAGTTCTCTAGTCTACCCAAATCTCTCTGAGTGTCTTTGGTTCTCGTCTATCAATTCTCGACTTCTCAGAATAACAGCAAGCAGGCAGAGATGATGTACTGATCAAGAGCAGAATGAGAGATCGCAAGGAATCTGGATGCAATTTATACGAGTAATCTGGTTCCATTGTCAACGAAAGAACTGGTCGAATTTGAATTTCAGCTGTAGCTTATTTCGGTCGTACAATTGAGCTGCTTGCATATTTTAAACTTCGAAATCTTAAATATCCGAAGATGATTGTTGTGAATGTTTAGGTACGTTCAACATGTGAGTTCTTTGGATCAAGTCATACTACGTACTTGGCTTGCCCAGTCGGCCTTTTTGCAATTTGAAACCCACTTCATCGACCCGTTGGAACGACGAACTCGTACACAAGGATTTATCTCACTTGTTCATGATTACATATCAAGGCTTAGATGGCATATTTATTGCTCTTCTTTGTGTTTTCATTTCTGTGGAGTGACAAACTAGAAGGGGAATGTGAACTACCTTCGGGTTTTCAATTGGCTCTACAGACTATGTTATGAAGGAAAGTTTTGACTCATTGAAAAAATTGTAAGGTATGATTGCTAAGAACATTGATTACGAAAACTACTTGTTTTGAAAGTCGCGATGATTACCAGATGCTAACAAGTTCAAGATAGCTCAGAACTGACCCTTGTCTCGCTTGTTTCATTATTTTTTTCACAACTCAAAAAGATGATAATCAAAGGTTTACAAGGAAAATCTCAAGTATTTCTTCAGAATATTTAAATGTATTGTCTCATGATGAATCCAGAATTGATCAATTCAGACCCCTTCAGAACTGACTCCAAAACTATCAGTTGTGTGTAATGGATTTTCAGATTAGCGTTCGATAATATTTAATCTTCTGAACATCCACGTCTTCTTAAAAAAATATTCTTTCTTTTCGTTTGTGCAGATAAGAATCTTGAATCTCTACTTAGATTTGATCTACATCGATTTGACTTTTAAGTGATGACAGCTAAATTCTGTGTTTCAATATATCAAAATTAAATACAAGGTATTTAAGCTTCTATAAATTTAAAAAAGATTCATTGTACATTGTCACATATCATTTAACATTAAATTCTGATATATTTTTATATTTTTTATCGATTGAAAGTAAATAAAATGTCAATCAATTGAAGTTTATTGATTTTAGTTACCAGGATAGATTCTAAAAAATCTAAGAAAACAAGTCAATAATCACGTTTCAAGTTTTGGTTTGGTAAAGACATATTTGGAAAACCAAAACTGTAAAATATCTTATATCTATTACTTATAATTATATTTTTCAAAATTTTTACTAGATTATAAGATTCTAGAAATACTAATCGGAAGAGATTTTTAATCATTGCCCGCAAACGTATATTAGTAAATCTTACAATAGGAGTAGAAAGGCTATGAAATTGACATATTCAAGAGATGATGAGCTTAATCAAAAACATATAGGATAATTTTATATGAAAGCTACCTCAAAAATCACATAGTTTGTCTAATAATACTTTGATAATTTCGAAGAATATTAATGTTTCAAATGTAATATTCATAAGATAAATGCAATGGGAATAAGATTTTGAAAGACTGATGAAGAGGAGCAATCCGAGATGAAGTAAAAAAATACTATATTATTGTACCCTAATTGTATACTTTGATAAAAATTCATTTGAATTTAAGTTTAGAGTAATTTTTTATTTTGAAATTTTTCAAATGAAATTGATAAAAAATGATAATGAGATTCTTGGGTATAAGCCAAAAAATATATAATTAAAAATTTCAATAATTTATTTCATAAAATTAACATATACAAAAAAAATCAAACATATGGATATAAAATTCTAAAATCTGATATTCATATTTTAATTGATAGAAAAAATTCATTTGATAAATCATGAAAAAATCTAAAATCTGAAACTTCAAATTTTGAATATTTTTGTGTTAATCTAAAAAATAAATTACAAAGTTAGTTCGAATATCTACATGAAATTTTATAAAACAGCAGATGTTTTGAAAATTTGTGTCTGATCATTTTTGTTTAATAAATGATGTTAAATAAAAAAAATCAGATTATTTAGATTTGAAAATTCTTTTGTCCTAATTAAATTAGAACAATTAGAATGGAGAAAAAGCCAACACCCGTAATTTTCATCTAATATTAAAGTGAAAATTATAATTGCGGTGATAGTTTGTGTTATAAGTATTCAACAATTGTGAAAAAAGTAATTTAACAATGCACTTGAAATCCCAAAAAAATATTTATTTATTTATGTTATTTAATTATATTTTTTATTCCTAATAATAACTTGATTAGTCATTAAATATCTTGCAAAAAAATATGGTTTTTTCGATTTTTAATATCTTACAATTTAAATCATTTTTCCTTCAAAATCTGAGGGCTTTGGAATAAAAAAAGTTCACAAAAGCTCGATGTCATTCTATCAGGATATCTATAAATTATTTTAATTGATTAAATAATTTATTTAAGGATAGATATGAGAATCAGATTTAAACATATGGAATAAAATGCTTTCAGAAGTACAATTTGAAAAAATTCATTGAGTTAGTACATCTTAGTCATGAATATTTTTAGCTAATCATGATTCAATCGAATGAGAAGATAAGGTTACTTGATGTTTTATGGATTATAATCTTTAACTGCTTTATTGTTTAGCGAAAGTTAAATTTTTTCATTTCGATATTTTGACTATCCTTGAATTGGACTAGTATTTCATTCATTTCAAATTATAAATTACCCTTGGATTTAGCAACAAATTTTCCAATTACAACAAGCTAAAATTGGAGGTTAGTTGTGCTTCATCGTTCAGAAATTCAATATCAAACTCAACTTGTTTTATTTCTAAATTTTTTCCCAATTTGTAGCATCACAAAAGAGTTCAGTGCTACTTATTCTTGTCTAATCAGCTATTGCTGGACTAAGAAAGATCATCAACCTATAGATAACATTCTTGCGGAAAGAAGTACAAAAATGGGTTAATGCATGAATTTCGATTCACTGGATGGTTCGGAACTCCTTAGCAAAAACTAACAAAAGATATTGATAAACAGGGGTTGGCTTCCAGCTCCTTGTCAAGTTGATCCTTGCGAGCTAAATGTGAGCGATCCGAGCGAACTGTATGGGTCTCCCATCTACCTGCACGCCTGACCCGCATCTGTTGATTTCTGAGAGGAATGGGTCCCTTGCTCGGGATGATCTCAGTACATGCATATAACGAGACAGAGAAAGTACATGCATATATTATCTTGCTCTGGTTCAGCAGAAGAAGGAACTTCTCCCACCAGCTGAATAGCGAATCGAGGGCGGGAAAATCTGATGGCAGGTAAGTGGACACCCAGTGATATGGCATAAACGAGGGAAAGTAATCTGATTGCCGATGTGCGTGCCGTTTTCTGCTGGGTCCCTGAAGGCTGCGTCTTTACTGGTGAACTTACATGCACGTACGTCCAGATACATGTACAAAAACTCCAATCGGGGAGCCGAGTAACTAATTCATGTACATGAACTTAGAGTTGACCATAAGTATTTCCTTTATATAGAGAAGTCGGCTATACTTCTGATTTGGTCGGTACCTCCTTAACGTTCTCCCCGGCGCTCAGAAGTGGGTGTCAGAGCTGAGTTAGTAGACGAAGACGGGTTAATATAAATATAAATATAAACCTTGCGATAACTTGTACATGAAATTGCAAGTTGATACGCACTTGCTGAGGTGATTGCGGAGGAAGATTACTTGTCTTCCAATCGATGTATTTCTTCTTTCCCTTATTTATATCCAGGCCGGCATCTTGGCCCTCCGATCGTAGAAACGAGAGGGATCCACAAGTTGCTTATATCCTGGGATCACTTCAACTCTCTGACAAAGTCCCTCGTGCTCACAAGAGCTTTTAATAGGTGGCAATCTAAACTGACGTAGACTAAGAACTTCAGTCTTGTTAGCTTGATTATTACTTAAAGATATGAATTAAGAAAGTCAAACTCGGTGGTGTAGCATCTCTAGTCGATTGCAATGTCGTACTGCCCAGATCTCACACACTACAGTACTCTGTGAAGCCCTCGACTTCGATCGGAAAACACGTCCGTTCAAGAATCCTCACGATCAATGTCCACATTAGATGAACCCGTTGTCGAAACCAAGTCGCCGAACATGATACTCTATTTTCGGGTCCAAGTTGCAATCACCACACATAATCTCCATGTGATTGATGCAACTTAATATTAGGGAATCCTCATTCAGCTGCAGTTTTTTCGAGTACAAAGTAGCTGGTTCGACAGCTCTTTGTTGCATGGATGTATGGGACCATACCCACAGAGATGAAGTTTTGCAGTTACGTATGGTACAGTGCTTTAATATTACTTGGAGCCTTGGTGGTGGTGATCACAACTGAGGATCGCAAGTACCTGCCAGGAAGCCGAAACTCGAAGAGCAAACTCGCAAAACTCAACCCAGAAGATAGAATATACTTATCGTTGCATACGCTGTTCAGGGCACGAAAGAGTCCTAATAGCAAGAAGCGCAACCTCCAGCGAACGTGCTTACAATGCAAAAAGTCATATGCGGAGCGTGGAGTGTTTGATCCTGGCTCAGGATGAACGCTTGTGACCTTGTCTCTCAATTGTTGAGCTAATGCTTTCACAACACGGCCTTAATTTGCATCGCTTTCTGGTATCACCAGTAAGTAATGATCGACTATGGTAATATATGGCTTCTTGACGAGTCCTTCGATGATACTTAGGAGTACGAATTGTAAGATCTCTTGCACCAAGATCTCCTGCTGGATGTGTACATCTTGGATATTCACATCCAGCAAGAGCAATCAATCTTTCACGACAAAGCAGACACTACAGTACAAACAATATAGTGAAAGCGAAGCGAAGCGAAACTGCCAACTTGTCGGGCACTATACTCAAGGACACTTGTACAGTGCGATAGCTTGAGAACAATCTGCTTCTGGCATATGAGCAATAGCATCCGATTTGGGACCGAAAAGATTGAGGGATTCTCTGTCAGGACAGGAGATAATCTGCCATATCCATCTACCGCCTAAAAGCCAATCTACTTTTTCTTTTAAATTCTGTGTCGCATCCATCTCAAAGCCAGAACTGTACCCGCACCCAAGATTTGGAAACCATGACACGACTTCAGACTCATCGCAAGTTTACGTCACTGCAAATTTAGTTGCTGATGCTTCAAGAACTTCGCTACTTTGAAAGCTCCTGTTAGTGGAACGCCTGATGAAGAACCCAGACGCGGAGTTTCGATAGAAGAACAAAGTGCTGCGTGTCAACCACTCGTGGTCTACCTCAACTCAAATGAGTTCGACACAAGTTTTGCCACGTGGAGATTGCGCATGATCGGAGAATGACGTGATTGCCGAAACCAGGGCAGAACCTGTGAAGCATCTTCGCAGCCGGTCAATTTCCTCACAATAAACTGTATTTAAACCACAAACGTCAGCGTTCTTTCCGTCAGCACAAGACTTTACGGCGGTCGGACAGGAACGCTACGAAAATTATTTGCTGAGATTTGGAATTACAGAGGTACTCATAATTCAAACCCAACACCTCTCGAAGGGATTACCTGTTGACCTGTTAGCAATATTTCCAATGCCACCTGCCTGCGGTCCTGAGTACAAGCATCGTAACTACGAAGCGGATACCGGCATGCCCTGCACGTTACCGGCTACATCGGGGTTCTTCCGCCGGTTGTCAAGACAAGACCTCGGTTAACTTATTTTTAAGGAGGCGACTAACCGACGTTATGGCGGCCCTCAGCGACGAGCAACTGCGGTTTCAACGGCGGCGAAGGTCCGGTGATCGTGGAGGATGAAGACGAGTGCCTGCATCGCAGATCTTTCTCTCCGAGCGTGCAGCCTCTCTTCTCCTGACGAGCCATTGACTATATGAACCACTCCGATTCCATCGACGTTGAGACCAATATACCTGTGTGTTGAGGTCAAAGTGACTCCAACAACTGAAGGGCTGAAACGGGTTCGCTTGAAAGTACTTCGTCACGAGATTTCGTTGATTACTTCACTCAACAACACATTGATGGAACTCAGCTTTTAGTCAGTATATTCGGTACTGTCACAGCTCATATAACCGGCTGTGGCAGCCCAAAACCGGTGCATTCAGATTCAACGAAAGTATTAACTCCAGGGAAATGGAGATGAGGCGAAACCGTGCACTTATCATCGCTGCGTTACTGGGGACTTACGCATTGTTGATTGCTCCCAGCGAATGTCATGGTGATGTAAGTATGGTCCTGTACATTCCTGCTAGAAACAGATGATCTTGTTATAGCTGAAAACATTTGCCTGGGGTGAGACAATTGGTGAGACATCGCGTTACATTTCTTCAGCATCGGAGTCCTTTCCCTGAAATCGAGGCTCTTTCATTTGTAATGTGTCAAGCCGAGTCCATTGAATCAGCTGTCGACGCTAGATTGCGGCTGAATAGTTCCTCAGATATGGGAATTTGTTGTTGTGTATGCAGAAACAAGAGTTTGTCTTGGTGCATGGTAGCGGTCATGGTGGATGGAGTTGGTACAAGGTGGCGGCAATTTTGAGGCACAGCGGATTTACAGTTACCCCTATAGATCTGCTATCAGCAGGAAGAGATCACACGAGCGTAGAGAGTGTGAAGACCGTTGCAGAATACTCAAAACCACTTACAGACCATCTACAGAATGTTACTTCCAAGGTATATGGATACCTTAAGACTCTCAATTATTTCAATCTGATACGTCCAAATCTGGGGTTATGGCATCAGGCATCAGGCATCATCGTAATTAACAGACTGTATCACACTCAGAAGTTGCAGCTGAATTCATACTATTGTGCAGCCATGGGTGTCTTTTTCTTGCTTGATGAGTCAACTGACTTTGCATCTTGACTTGTAATTTACCTCGCAGGTCATACTTGTGGGACACAGTTTAGGAGGAACTTCAATATCGTATGCCATGGAGCAGCATCCTGAGAAGATATCGAAGGCCATCTTTGTTTCCGCTTTTATGCCAAGTAACAATCAAAGCGGAATGGAAACAGTGGCACCGGAGGTATGACGATTTCCACTGCTAACAGCCGTCTTACAACGTTGTGTCGGTGTGCTGGACTATGAAACGTTTCACTGGGTTTAAGATCGTTTGTATTTTGCCTTCTTATAAGTTTTAAATATTGTATAGGACGATCAATGCCGATACTGAAACGATTCATCCAGGGCACACCATCGATATCTTTGAAGCTGTCGGTTGAAGTTCTTTGCTTTTAGGTGCTTATTTATCAACATTACTTATCGATCTGATTTAATATCTATACTTGAGTGTATTAAAAGTTTTGCCTGTTATGTCAGATCCTCGGAGGCCTCATTACTAAAGGAGTTCTCAAAATAAATTCTGCGAACGGACCTGAGGCCCTACCAGTATCTGTCTCCTTGAATTCAACTTACGAGATGTTTCGAAAATACTTATACAGTGAATGTTCTGATGAGGTTAGTGTTCTTGCACGCTTTGTATGCATTGCGACATACATTATATTCTAATTATTTACGGCGGGGGTTGCGCAGTAATCAGTGGTCCGTTAATACTCCTGCTGTCAATGTGGCTTTTGCAGGATATCAACCTGGGCATGTCTTTAGTAGTTGACGCACCTTACGCGGCTTACTCAGAAAAACTTACCTTAACACCACAAGGTTATGGAAGTGTCTCTCGATACTACATATCTACCGGCCAGGATAAAATTATTCCAAATTCTGCTCAAATTCTCATGACGAAGGCAAATCCGCCACTCGCAGTGTTTCATCTGGACAACGGTGATCACATGTCTTCTTTCAGTTATCCAGAAGAACTGACGAGCCTTTTGTATTACATCCATCTGTTATAAGATCTGTTCTCAGTCTCATCCTTGATTCAGGAGGAGTGTAACCGTAGAATGTAAATGTCGTTCTTTTCATTCCCGTTTTGATTTGTTGTATAACACGTTGTAGAAGCATCCAAATTCTTACAGATGTAGGAGTAGACATTAAGACGAGAATTATTCAGCTAATTGTCTGTTAACTGAATGTCTTGACTGTAATTCTCTCTTCGCCAGCTCGCACTTCGCGCGAGCGCAGAAGTTGAAGAAGTTGCAGTGAAAGTTGAGGTTGTAATTCGAGAGTCGGAATGAAGAATCTGGCAATTATGGAGAAAATTACCATCATTTGTCACTTTAAACTCATTTTTTCTCTGTTGAGAGCTAAAAAGCGAGTGTCTTCGCTCTCGCCTGCTGCTCTATGAGTGGGCTTGATAAGCGGTATTGGGTCTGCGTTTTCTGATAATTCAATGACGCTGCAAACTGCAGCGTCATTGAATTATCAATGGATCGTTCGGAGGATGAATGTGCCAATAATTCATGTTGAATTCTATGGAGTTTTTACTATTGTGGAACATGGTTCATTCATTTTATGTCGGTAATAGTTCTTCAAGCAGTAAATTTAGCAATAAAAATTGGTTACAATGTTTGGCTAGAAAAATTATAAAAAGTTGCCAATGTCAAATTGTTTGGTACGCAACTTGCAGAATATTTTAGAACAAGCCAACTGTGGATATATGGAAGTATATGAAAAATATGGAATACACGTCCAAAATGTCGACTCTTTCGCAACACCCAGAAGCTTTTTTGACTGACAACAGATGCTGATGTCGTCTAGCCAGATATCTATTGCAGTATAGGTGAATGAATGTAAATATTCGAACGGACGATGTGAACGCTGACTTCATGAAGATCCATGCTCATCACATCTTTCGTTGTGTTGATGGCTTTCTGATTTTGACTTCAATTAGGACGATAATCTTTCACCGATTAAAATCCACAGCTCAAACCAGAAGTACATGTACAAATTGACGATTTGAACCGAATTAGGAATAACTCGATGCTTGAAAGTCATTCAGCATCAGATCAGAAGCATTTCAGTTCGAGCTGTGAACCAGAAGACTGCCATCACTGAATTAGATATGGAGCGAATTTATTCTGAATAGACTACATCTAACTGGAAAGATCTTAACGAGATTCACCTAAATCAAAATACAAAAAACATCTAAATGCTTAAGATTGCAAGCTGAAGACAGATTCAACTTTTCTTCTTCAATGGATTCTATACCTGAAGAACCTCAAGAAATGTCACCAAGTTGGACATGATAGGTGCACGTAGAACTGTAGTGTGCAGAATTTCACAGATATTTTACCGGGTCACTACAAGTTAAGCTGTGGTGCTTCGGCTGATGTCGAACCCTCCCGATGACATATGCTGGCCTGTTGTCTGCTCGTCGTTGATATTCTTGATTTTCGTCGAACGCCTTTCCGATCGTATCAAGTGCGCGAAAACGACCGACTGCATCATTTCAGAGTACTAAATATAGAGTACTGTAATAGCTCAGACTGGCAGGCGATACAGACAGAAAATTACAGGTTGATGGAACTTAAAGATTATGATGAAGATCTGTTCAACCACTTGTGACGATATGTTCCAGCTGAACGTCTCAAGGTTTCTGGTACATTCTGTCTCTTAGTTCCAAGTTTGAAACTCACTATGTGAGCGTGGAACGTTGCTGTAAAGATTCATTCTGACAGACAAGAAGCCTGTCACTGTATATTTCAGAGGCAGGTGCGTAAAATCTCGAGGACAAAACAGCTTCTTCTGACATGTTCCACTGCCAGAACATTGACGTAGTACTAAGACTTTTTACTTTCCAGTAAAAGCTAAGGAAGCCTTAAGAAATTTCAATCCTTCAGAAACAAATGAAGACAAGACGTCTGGAACCCTCATCGTCATAAACGGGGATGGATTGGAACGTCGATGGATTAGAACACAGATCCGTCTTCTTCAAATGCCCAACGAGAAGTCTTGCTTAATAAATCAGGCTGCAAACAACTGGAGAAAATTTTGCATATATACCAGCAGAATTGACTGAAAGATTCAGAATTTCAGAGAATTGTAAAATGATATCAGGTGCAAAAGCATGTCTCTGTTTGATGTCTGATTTGAGAGCAGATTACATTTTGTGATGGCTGCTTTCTTCACGACCATATGGCTGCCGAACAGAGCCAGCCATCGCTACATGCAATTTGTGGGAATTAGCAGCTGACAATATTGATTACAGACCGTAGTGAGAGCGCACAAGGACGACTGATTACGTAACACTCTCAGATCCGCTTCAGATGGTACAGGCAACACGATCATGGGCATCACAGACAATACTATTTAGGCTGTTGCAGCGACACTGGAACGGTTGAAAACAAATTGGCTCTCTTCGTGGTCATGGAGATTTCGGTCTTACTCCAGAATGGTGTCTTCAACCTCTGACGATGAGTGGCATGTTTGTGGTTGGTACGGTTGCGGCTCCCTGCACAGCAAGTGGTTCCTCGATGATATATTCGATGCTAAGGGAATGAACTCGAGGCTTCCAGCTGGCTGCTCATCAAGTAGAACTTTCAGTATTGTCTCAGCGGGTATCATGCTTGGATCATCTACGGCGCCATGGAAAATGCGAGGTATTTTTCAACGCATCAACAAGTCCACATCGTTTGATGGGACCGATGGGCACAATCATCTACCTACTACACAACGTGAAGATAGTTTCGGCTTTCGAACTCACCTGTTAGCGTCAAATTGTGCTTCAGAAGCTATATTGTGTCCTGTGGGTCCCTCCACATTAGGTGAAGACATATACGTGATTGCAATACAGTTCAGTTGTAGAGTTCAACTCATTTACAGGTCTACATAGCACAACAAAAGTGAACAAAAGGATCAGGAATGTAGAATTCTACCAATTTTATCCTTCATGTTAGCGCAGGTGCCTGGAGTCATGAGAATGTAGCATGCGAGACGTCAGGTAAAAGCACATCAAAGTTTTGAAGCTAGGGCCCTTTCCCCCCCAGCAAGTAGTAAAATGTCAAACATAAATAACATATGTTGAATGTTTAGTCATACTTTGCAAAAAGGTTACGTTCTTCACCGAAGAATCTACAGGATACGTTAATTATATATATTGGATGATTGGTGTTAGCCGTAGTTAGTCGTAGTTAATGTTGACCTGATACATAATACATAGAAAATCGCATGCACCAAATAATGTACTCATTAGATACATAATTCATCTCCTTGAGGCTACACACTCATAAGAACTATTTGTTTAAGTGAAGAAACTATTGTGTGTCATAGAATAACTAATTAAAGTTTTAAAATTTTATAGAGTTAAAATTCTGAACTAATCTAACACATCAATCCAACTAGATTCAGCCAATATTTAAGAATAAATTCAGCAATATTTACTTTGACTCTTCAATTGAATTCTTATCTACTTATTTTCTATGTATTGAATTAGAAATAAAAACTGAAACAATCTGAAACAAATTTAGTAAACTAGAGAATTCTATTATTAAACTGTATTTTTGAACAAACTGAATTAGAATCATACATAAAGTGAACATGACTGTTGATATATTCTTATTGTGCTCATTTGTAACATTTATCATTATTCTCGAATTTTTTTTAGCTTTAAGAATAATAAAACTATAGAAAATTCATTTCTAAAACTGAGATTTTTTAATCATAAAATTTGAATAATTAACTCGTGTTGTTAATAGAATTATATATAAAAAATCGACATTTGATTTTATTAGTTTTGATTGATTATTCATCACTTGATTTAGAACTATAAAACATTTGCTGTAAGAATTGAAATTTAGTCCTGTTGATATTTGATTTGATTTTTGCTCTATTTGTGCGATCATTATATGATTAACTTACAAGAATTTTTATATAAAAAATGTCACTCGTGTATTCAATTTCAACTATAAATACTAATTCAATTTTAACTTTTAAAAACTAATTGATCATGCTCAAAATTTATGAAATTTGAAATTATTGTATTTACCATCATATAAAACTACAATTTAAACCTATTTCATATAAAAAAATCAATTATCAAAATTGAATTTTTAATTTTTAATCAAAATTTAATTACATGTATATAACACGTATGTGCCAATCTTACAAATGAAAATTTAAAAAATTTGCATATTGTTATCTTTCAAGTTATAATCTTTTGATTTATCAATAATAATCCTTATCAATAATGATTGTTATTATATAATTTTGAAATCTGAAAAGACAAAAATTTACAATTAATTTGTGTTTATTTTTGAATATTTTTTTTAATTTTATTTAGAATTTTGAACTTCAAAACTCTTACGTTTTAATATTGAAGAAAATTTCAAATAATAGATATTTTAGATGAAATAAACATGATATTCAACAAAAATCAAATTTTGAATTTTCAATGTTAATATTAACATCAAGAATATGTTAATTAAATATTTCTGGCCTCATGAAATCATAATTATTTTGCAACATGTCCAGTTAATATAATTTTTTCACGGTAATTCTCATGTGTGTGCACGTTGAGTTTAGATTTGAGTCGGAGGCACGTTGTAGGGTCGGCTAATGTTGAGACGTGAGTTACGTTAGAATTGAGTTGACACTTTTCAGGTTATGTTGAATGCGAGCTTGAAGAACTGTCAGTTCTTCGAGTTGAGCCTTAGGTGTCGGGATTTTTCCCATTAGCTTCGACTCTTATTCTACTCCAGTGTAGTGAGTTTGGCTCGACTCGTGTACCTTGTGTTTCGACGATTATGTTATTATGATTTTACTCAAAGAACTGCACTTCGTGGCATTTGACAATGAGAGTTTCAGGTTTAGGTTGTAGTTGCATTTACTTTGGTTAGATTTTATAATTCAGGTTTTGGTTCTTGCTTTTGCGGATTAGATTTCTGCATGAAGTTTTTCGTCGTTGAGTGTGTCAGTCGTGGGTGTTGATTTGTGCGATGGTGATGTGGGGGAAAGCGTGACGAGAAATCTGTGCTTGTGTTCCTGAGTACACAAGCATCGGTTCACATCCTCTATATCATGGAAGAGCAGGCGAATATGAGTTGTCGACAAGTGGAACTTCGGACAGCACCAGAAGGATCAAAAAGCAGGCAAATAGGAGTTGCTGATAAGTACAACTTTGGACAGCACCAGAAGAATCAAAAGTGCACTCTCAGATTCAGGATGTTAGCATTGCTTGGAGTATTTCGAGGGTGACTTGAAACGCGAACAGAGGCTGCAGACTCGTGTATATATGGAGCAGGAGTGTCTGAAATAGAAAGTGCGCGGTGGCTCAAGTTTCGGGCAGAGATCATTCTCATCCACGAG